CCTTTCACAAAGCTCCGTTCGCTATATTCTCCGCTATCTCCTCCGCTAAAGTTGTCCGCTAAAGTGCGGTAAAAAGCGAGCGACTTTAACGAACGGAGGTTCGTGAAACGCGTCCTCCGCTATTTAGCGGACAACTCGGGAGTTAGCGGAGGAGATAGCGGAGAATATAGCGAACGGAGCTTTGTGAAACGCGCCCCTGGCTTCATTCACATGGCTGAGTGCTGATGTTCGCTGATACAAGAGAACAACATATCTCTCTATTTGTTCCACGTCGTCGGGGGATACCTGGCTTGGACCAAACATCGGTTTGAGATGAGGCATACTGCACCAAACAGCCCAAGCTGTTCTCTTTCCAATTCCATGGAAGGCAGGAACAGTATCACATCCTGATATTGCATGGAAGAATAGAAGACCCCATGATGCATCGTTGCCTAATTCAGCTGCAATTAGGTGGCACTGAATGCAAAGTAGTTTAGCACCATGACCAAATGCTATCAATATTTCCCAGTCCTGTAAGACACTTGACACTGCAATTGCGATAACCACCACATCAGTATCTGTTGCATGTACCATCAGCTTGGTAAGCCCATGATGGAATGAATGGGAAGCATAAAACAAGAGCCGTGTGTCTGATTCTTCGTGAGTGCAGAAAAAATCTGACAGGTCAGCTATGGGAGATGATACAGCATTCTGGCCATGTGTAGAGTTCATTAGCTTCTGTGGAGGAGGTTAAAATCTTGTATAGCATTAGCTAGAAGTTGGAACAGGCTGTCTTTGTTTGCATCACAGCGAAGGAAGTTCTTCCAGTTAACAGGAATCTTGGTGTTATTGTCCACCCGGAGATGATTACCAGATCCACGGTTCTGTCGTGTTTGTGTCTTAGGCTGTCCTCCCTGTAGACATCCTAGACAACATCTACGCGAACAACGTCTTGTAGCATGTGTTCTATATAGGGAAAGAACACCAATTGTGAATAGTCCTGGAATGTTTTGACAGAAAGTTGAGACTTCTTTGGGTCAAGCATGTGCACAATGGCAGCACCGTCAACAATGTTGACATCCACATTTGGAACAGATTCCGGCTGTGGTACCAATGACTCCAAGCATTCCATCAAGTCAGATTTGCTTGTTTGGCGCATGATACCATTTGATGCCAACGATGAAGGCCAAGCATGATTTTCATGTGTAAAGGAGGCATCCATATCACTTTCTCTAGCTTGACACGATATATACAGCCGTGGGAAGAGATGAACATCATTGTGCAGGTTGGAAATATTGGAAGTGGACGCAGGTTTCTTTCCTGAACTAGAATTCAACAGAGGCAGATTGTACCTTTGTATGGTGTTATTGAATGCAGTGATGTTGTCATTGATATGCTCCGCAACAAATTTCTGGTACTGTGCTTTGCCTATGTCTTCTGCGGACCTTATAGTATCTACCACACTATCGGACATTATCTGTTTGGTATCAAGCAAGCCTTCTGCACACTTGGTATTTGTTCATGGTGGCGTTCTGTGTCCTTATTTTTAATTGAATGTTTGTCATCATACTCCATTAATAGTCTAGCTGTTTCTAGACCTGCCATCATCCACCGTCTCAGTGCTGCTTTATTTTCAGTGATACCTATTACGCTTCCATCTCCCTTCACCATTGCATTCAGCTTTTCATAAACTTGATCATGGGCTAGTGCTGAGAATTTGTGCATGGTTTTCTGTGTCACAAAGTTGCCTTTGAGGAACTCTGCATGTGTGATAGGGCAGTTAATCTCGAGGGCAAGTTTATCTCTCACATAAACCGTCATCCAGCGAGCATAGTGATAGTGGTCAAGAGCGAACAATCACGGAATAATCTTTCCAATTAAGTGACTCCACATAGGCAACATATTTTTGTTCACGCTGTGATCTAAGGAACGACGTTTTGGCAGGCTCGCAGGCGTACCTTCCAAAGTGTAACAGAAATTATGAACTAAAGTATAGATGGCATTATTTTTCATCATGATTTTTCACATATGTGTAACCGAGTTCTTTGACCTAAAAACATTTTATATTGTATTTGTTTAATTTGAAGATGTATGTTAGGATATTTCATGTTTTCCATCGGGTTCCTTAACATAAAAACTGGTATAGACACCTAGATCCTGGTAATCGTGGCACGTATAGCCATTTTATGGCAAAGAAATGCGTTTGTGGCCGCCATTTTGGATTAAATATTTTTGGCGGGAAGATGTTATGATAGATCACAATGTGTTCTATATCCGTTCTATGGGGTTCATTGACCTCAAAAACATATGTATAGAGACCAAGATCATGGTACTTGGTGCACTTACAGCTGATTTATGGGCAAAACTGTGTTTTGTGGTGGCCATTTTGAATTTTCAACTTTTTGGCGGGAAGATATATCTTATGATATTTGACAAGAGTTTTGCTACATTCTTTGACTTCAAAAACATAGGTATAGACACCTAGATCCTGGTAATCGTGGCACGTATAGCCATTTTATGGCAAAGAAATGCGGTTGTGGCAGCCATTGTGGATTAAATTTGTTTGGCGGGAAGATATTATGATAATGATGTGTTCTATACCCGTTCTATGGGGTTCATTGACCTCAAAAACATAGGTATATACATCAAGATCATGGTAATCGGGGCACTTACAGCTGATTTCTAGGCAAAAACATGTTTTCTGGTGGCCATTTTTAATTTTTAATTTTTTGGCGGGAACCGTTGGAGTGACATCGTGTTTCCCGCAATTTGAAATCAGCATACTCAAAACCCCCCTAGAGCAAATTTTCATGCTTCTTTCCAGAAGTGCACACTTTAAGTAAAAAATGTCACGTATCCGCCCCACTAAGTGATAAACGCGGATCCCGGTTTTCATGACTCGTACGCAAGAACAGTTATGCAATCACTCCGTTCCTTGACGCACAAGTTGCTGTGATTTTATAAGATTTTTGACAAAAACATACAATTAGATCTTTGACATTATGCCAGTAGAGCAATGTACAATGATGCAATTTATTTTGAAATTAGGTGTTGATGTGGCTGACTCATGCTTCACAAGCACGTCTCTTAAAACGAGTGCATAATATTACATTGTTGTAAAACCAGTGTAAAATATTTAGCTTTGTAGCGCCATCTGGTTTTTAAATTTGTCTTATATTTACGCGTCTACCAAAAAGAAAATCTATGTCCGTATACGGCAAGATTTCTTTGAAGGTTGATAATACTGTACGAGACGTACAAGACTGTACGAGACGTGGGCGTTTCCAGCATTATGCGGAAATTTAAACGAGTATACGCGTTATAACAAGATAGGCGTGAGAGTTTGATGATATTTAACGCATTCAGCATAGCATAAATCTGACGTCTATGTAAAGTTACCTACTATTTAAAAAAATCGGTATTCGCCTGTAAAAACACCTTGGCAATTTAGATGCTTTTGTCGTTCACCATATTGCGCATTTTGCAACGATATGAATTTATGCCAGTATTTTTCCGTCAATTTTTATTCTCCATCCGTTCATTGATATCCCGACGTTGCCACATTACTCGTTCATTTAGGGTTTCCGTACCAAAAGGTGCAGTCCCGCATCCTGAACCTTCAAGTGTACGACTACGACAAATTTAGCCGTAACGATCCGATAGGAGAGGTGTTCGTGCCCCTGTGTGAGGTGAACATGACCGACGGATGTACGCTATGGAAGAGCCTGCAGCCTATACAGAAGTCACGGGTAAGCCACACGGAAAGTTCATTAGGCCGCTATTACCATGAACCCATGAACATGTGTTCGTGGATGTATATATATATATATATATATAGTAATAGTAATAGTAATAGTAATAGTAATAGTAATAGTAATAGTAATAGTAATAGTAATAGTAATAGTAATAGTAATAGTAATAGTAATAGTAGTAGTGGTATTGGCAATGGTAAGGGCAAGAGTTTGTGATGATGATGATGATGATGATGATGATGATGATGATGATGATGATGATGATGATGATAATGATAATGATAATAATAATAATGATGGTGATGATGATGATGATGATGATGATGATGATGATGATGATGATGATGATGATAATGATGACGATGACGATGGTGATGAGGAGAAGGAGGAGGAGGAGGAGGAGGAGGAGGAGGAGGAGTAGCAGGATGAGGAGGATGACGACGACGACGATGATGATAGACGACGATAACGATGTGGATTGTTTTTATTAATTTTTGAAGGCAGTAACACAACTTAACGCGGAAAAGTAAATAACTCGCGACTAAGTGATGTACTATTTTGCTTGAGGGGAAACATGATGGAAACACGAAACTCAACGTATGATCCTCGATTCTTTCATATGATATATACATATACGTATAACCATCACATCTTTGTATTGATTGGCATTACTAGTCATGTAAAAAGTCTTTTTGACAATCTCTAGCGAATTCAGCCTTGGCATAGTTGAAATGAAGCAAAGACGTAGGGCGTACATTTAGACGTAACCAATGACACAACTTCGCAAACGGTATACCAGTATGTAGTTGCGTCGTGCATGCAATCAAATCGAATACTCTCTGTGATGTTTAAATGCTGGTCCGCCACACCTACTTTGATGCATTTGTTACGAGTAGTAATAGTCGTCAATGCGTAATGTGTCTCAATTAATTACAGTGATTGCTTCTAATTTCGATTTCCATTTCCAATTAGTGTACCAAAATTTTACCACCGAACACAACCAATTTGATTAGATACTACAACATGTGCGGGGACCGTAGGTAGTTAAATAGCCGCGTTAAACCGGCAAAGCTAATTAGCTATAATGACAGTGATCTCGTTTTATCCTCAGCCTAAAATAGATTTCGCTAGCTAGTCGGTACTTTACCATTTATCGAGATTCGTCAGTTAGTGAGCAGTGGACACTAATGTGTAAACTCTCCATGCTAAGAATGAGTAAATATTGAATATTTAACACTCATACTTCGTGGTATTACTGAGAGCTGACTCGACATCTTAAGATGCTCAAATGAGTTCGACGACGCGCTCTGGAACACGCTCCACGAATGCCGGAATCGATGAATATTCATTTAATCGACGATAGATTTTTAAGGATAGTCACAGTTGGTCCACACAATAGCGTAACTTGTGATAGTCAAGTCACAGCAGTGAGTCTACCGTTATCGATATGGCCTAGTAATCGACGCTGCGGGGTGGTGTAACAAATGCACATATGAACAGGTAAAAGTGAAAAGTTAGCAATTATGAGGAGTGACGTCACTACTCCATCTGCATTAGAAATTCAGCGTAAATTATCACTGCGATCGGCCGTAGTCAACGAGTCGCTGGACGCAGTTCCACTCTCGCGAATTTCCAATTCCCGCACGTAATAATTTATTATATTTTAAGCCGTAAAACATTAACGTTAATAAATGAGTAAGTCGCGCGCGACAACGATCGCCCTAAATATCGATCGTGAATTGGCCACTAGAGGGCAGTAATGAAGCCACGCAGAGCACTGATGATTTTACCTGAAGTGCAGCTGTATGTGCACATCGCTTCTTGTAACAGCGGAGTATGCTGGCATGATTTGCGGAAAACGTTGTTATTATAGATATATGTTAGGTTTTCTTATTTACTAGACTCCATGACGCACGGAGAATTAATACGAGTGACAATATCGTAATTATTCAAGGCGAATATTTTCGACCGGAGATTAGCTTCAAGATTAAAATAAATTTGAATATGTTTAGAGCTGAGGTTATGACTCGATTGCTCCCGAGTAATAAAATACATTTGCATATAATAAATTTATAAATTTCAATATAATTTTCATCGTTATTCAACTACAATATTATATAATAATATAATATAATATTGTATTATATTATATCATATTATTGATTATATTTGCATTTTTATCGCTAAATAGTTTTGCTTATAATTCTTCGCGGTGAATTATAATGGCAGATTTATGTCGTTATTTTTTCGCATTAAAATAATTTTAGCCCAGTAATTTTGTCACGGCGATGACAATTACGTTACACCCATTATCCCATTATATTAGCCATCGGAAAGTATTTATACATGCTGGACGTGAGGCGGCGTAACTTCAATGGCACTTACTCCGCCATATCCGCCGTAGCTTTTCTGTCCCGTCCGTTATTATACGGGACTTATTAATCCCCACAACATTAAGCACGCTGTGAAAAAGGTAGTCGGAACCAAGGTTTAAGCAATTGCACTTCGTTGCACAATTCAATGTTGGGTAGTTATCTTACCCGTGAGCCAGATTGCAGCATTAATACAAACTTAAGCGAAATGTTCTTAATACACCGGAGAGGTGCAAAAGAATTCCAAATTGGTCGGATTTAGTTTTGCCTATAGATAGACACACACGAACTGAAGTGAAAGAATGCAATAATAATAGACCTATAAGAGCGGGAAATAGTTCCTAGCACAAAAGGGACGATAGATTTCAAAAGTAATCTAGATAACATCCTAATTTGAATCAATTTTACAATTTTGCCATGAATAAACTTCAAATAGTCAACGATAGCTTGTTCCACAATAGAAAGAGTCCTAAAATTACAATTGCTTGCGTGCAGTTCGTACTGCGACGTGTAGAGCCTACTTGTGTTTGAGTCAGTAACAACACATATATGCAATATAGCGCAGCCAGTTTGAATTTAAACGCTATTGTCATTATACTATTTTCCCACGACGGTTTCAATTTTATTAAATATAATTATGTCATGAAAGTAGCAATATGCAAAGCCGGTGTAATATGTCAACGAGAATTATTTACGTTCAGTCGGAGTATTTATTTATTTAGTCAGGCCGCCCCCAACTTTCTCCAAATAAATGTCTCGTATATCACGCGAGAACGGTAGTTTTGTTAAACGTAAATTATTTAAACAAGTAAAAATAGACTGCAGCAACTGCAGCAAAAGGTAGCTATATCGGCGAGAGTTGCGGCGGATATGAAATTTATGGCACATATTTATGCTTTTCTATGTCCTTTCTATTCTTTTTAACCATTACAAAATCCGTCAATAAATGCTAATCCTGCATGTAGCTTGTAACGCATTCGGCCTCACGCCGAGAAGATGATATGAATTTAACTGAATTTTTTTAGTTCATAGGCGTTTCATAATATTTCCATTTCCATGACTTACGCGTACGTGCGTGCGTGAGTTCATGCGTGCGTGTGCGTGTGGATACATGTAAGCGTGAATCGAGGAGTGCGCGAGCCTACGTTTATTTATGTGTATGAAGGCATATTCCCACCGGACTCAGTGCCATACAGACTGCAATCGCATTGCTAACACACAGTTCTACATTGAGCATCTGTATGTTCGAACGTCGACAAAGTCTTTTAATCCAACATGTGAAACCATAATTTGTAAAAGTAATGTGTTTTTAATGATCATTCCTATAAATAACAATTCTCTAAATCCTCTAAAGCCAAGTTAGTGGGGCGGATATGTGTCTGAGGTGTGCACTTCTGGAAAGAAGCATGAAAATTGGCTCTAGGGTGGTTTTGAGTATGCTGATTTCAAAAATTGCGGGAAACACGATGTCACTCGAACGTTTCCCGCCAAAAAATCAAAAATTAAAAATGGCCGCCAGAAAAAATGTTTTTCCCCATAAATCAGCTGTAAGTGCCCCGATTACCATGATCTTGATGTATATACCTATGTTTTTGAAGTCCAAGAATGCAATAAAACACATGTCAAACATCATAAGATATGATCTTCACGCCAAAAAGTTGAAAATTCTAAATGGCCACCACAAAACACAGTTTTGCCCTTAAATCAGCTGTAAGTGCCCCAAGTACCATGATCTTGGTCTCTATACATATGTTTTTGAGGTCAATGAACCCCATAGAACGGGTATAGAACACATCTATCATAATATCTTCCCGCCAAACAAATTTAATCCACAATGGCTGCCACAACCGCATTTCTTTGCCATAAAATGGCTATACGTGCCACGATTATCAGGATCTAGTTATCTATACCTATTTTTATGTCAAGGAACCCGATGGAAAGCATGAAATATCCTAACATACATCTTCAAATTAAACAAATACAATATAAAATGTTTTTAGGTCAAAGAACTGGGTATAACACGTGAAAAATTATGATGAAAACTTAAGTATGCCATCTATACTTCAGTTCATAATTTCTGTTACACTTTGGAAGGTACGCCTGCGCGCCCGCCAAAACGTCGTTCCATCAGATTTCATGAAGACGCAGTGCACGCAATAGAAGGCACGCGCGTATGCCGTGTAAAAACAATCCAATGGTGTATCATGTATTATGTTAAAACATTAAATGATCTCTGTCAGTGTCTCATATGATCAGATTTGCTTTCTTATTCTCTGTTACACTGTCCTGAACAGAAGCACATCTGTGTACACTCGAGATTTGCTTTGACACACTTGCATCTTTTTGTACAAGGCTTTTTGTATCCACATTTTAACAGTTCCTGCCTAGCTTTGGCTGCCTCTGGAAGAGTGGTCCAGCATGGAGTCCATGGGGAATCATCTGTCACGCTCTCACAGCCCCATAAATCTGGCGATGGAACTTCAGGGTCTCCTATAAGTGACTGTCCCCAGATGTGCCCTGCCTGATAAACAGCCCTTTTCACATGATGTTCCAGGGCATGCAACGTTAGAGGAATGTTTTCCATCTTACAGTTTTGAGTGAACAACTTCTTCCTGGGGCGCGTTTCACAAAGCTCCGTTATAGTTCTCCGCTAAGTTGTCCGTTCGCTGATTAGCGAACGGAGGCATTACGGAGAACTTGGCGAACGGACAACTCCTGTTTCACGAACGCTCCGCTATGCCTCCGCTAAATAGCGGAGGAAAGCAGTCAGTCAGCTGGCAGATAACTACAAACATGTGTTGCAGTTGCTAGGTTACGTTCTATCATATACATAAGCAACAGCGCTGTGACAGAGATAGCTCTAGAACTAACGCAGAGATTTAGTGTGTGTGTGTGTGTGTGTGTGTGTGTGTGTGTGTGTGTGTGTGTGAAAATTGAAACTTACACCCACTCCACACGCAGAGATGACTGGGCCAGATGTGGAACTCAGCATTAATCCCCAAACATTGAACCCCGACCGCCCAGTCGATTCGATGTCGTTAAATATCAACCTAACCACATTGATCTTTTCAAAATTATTACCGGCTCCGGGTACATATATTTCATTGGTACTACGTTACGTTGGGAAAGATGCGTGAAGCCCCTAAAAGACTCTCCAAATGTCGGATTTAGGTTTTGGGGCGCTATAGATAGACACACACGAACTGGAAGGTGAAAGAATGCAATAGAATAATAGACATAGTAAGAGCGTGGAAATAGTTGCCTAGCAAAAAGTGGACGATAGATTTCATGTTAAATAATCTAGATTAACATGCCTATTTGGGAATTCATTTTACAATTTTGGCGGCATGAATAAACTTCAAATAGTGCAACGATACGCTTGTTCCATCAATTTAGAAAGAGTCCTAAATTACAATTGCTTGGCGTGGCAGGTTGCGCTACTGCGACGTGTAGAGGCCTACTTGTGTTTGAGCTGCAGTAGCAACACATTTATTGACAAATATAGGCGCAGCCAGTTTGAATTTAACGGCTATGTGTGCATTATAGCCTATTTTCCCTTAGCGACGGTTTCATTTTATTAAAATAATATCCATTATGGGTCATTAAAATGTAGCTGCAATATGCAAAGGCGCGGTGTATATGTCCGAGAACTTATTTACGCTTCAGTCGCGAGTATTTATTTATTTAGTCAGGGCGCCCCCCTAACTTTCTGCGCAAATAATGTCCGTATATCCACGGCGACGAAAGGTAGTCTTTGTTTGAAAGGCGTAAATTATTTAACCACGTGAATACGACTGCAGTAATAAACCAAGCTGGCAGGGCAAAAGGTAGCTATATCGGCGGAGTGTGCGGGCGGATATGAAAGTGTTATGGCGGGGGCAGTATTATGGCTTTTCTATGTGCGGCTTTCTATTCTTGTTTAACCAAGTACAAATCCGGTCAATAAAGTGCTAATGCCTGGCATGGTGGAGCTTGTAAGCGCATTCGGTCTCAGCGCGCGAGAAGATGATATGAATTTCACTGAAGTTTTTTTAGTTCATGAGGGGGCGTTTGCATAATATTTCCAGTTTGCATGACTTACGCGGGTACGTGCGTGGCGTGAGTTCATGGTGCGTGTGCGTGTGGATAGCATTAGCGTGAATCGTAGGGTGGGGAGGCCTTAGCGTTTCTTTATGTGTTGAAGGGCATACTTCCTCGGACTCAGTGCATACAGACTCGCAACCGGCATTGCTCAACACACAGTTTCTACATTGAGGGGGGCATTGTATGTTCGAAGTCGACAAGTCTTTTAATCCACACATGTCAAAGGCCATAATTGTAAAAGTAATGTGTTTTAATGATAATGTCTCATAAATAAAAGTTCTCTAGATATTCGCTCTAAAGGCGCTCCAAGTTAAGTTGAATAACCGCGGATCGCGGTTTTTCATGACTCGTACGGCAAAGAAAGTGCAGTTAATGCATCACTGGATGTTCAGCGTTCCTTGACGGCACATTAGAAGTTGGCTGTGACTTTTATAAGATTTTGACAAAAACAATACAATTAGATTTTGAGCAGGGTTATGGGCGCGGTAGAGCAATGTGAAATGATTGCAATCTTATTGAATTAGGTGTTGATCGTGGCTTGACTCATGGGCTTCAGCAAGCACGTCTGCTTAAAACGAGTGGCACTACATACTTCACATTGTTGTAAAACCAGTGTAAAATACTTTAGGCACTTGTACGCCATGGTTGTTTTTTAAATTTGTCTTTATAGTTTACTGCGTCTCTAGCGCAAAGAGAAAGGATCTTAATGTCGTATTAGCGGCAAGATTTTTTGAAGGTTGATAATACGTGTAACGCGAGCGTACGAAGCTGTACGAGACGTGGGGCGTTTCCAGCATTATGGCGGAATATGTTAAACCGAGTATACGCGTTATACCACACGATAGGCGTGAGGAGTTTGATGATATTCTACACGGCATAGGGCATAGCATAATCTGACGTCTATGTAAAGGGTTACGGCTAGCCTATTTTAAAAAATGGGTATTCGCCTGTAAAACACCTTGGGGCAATTTAGACTGCTTGTTGTCGTTCACGGAGGGAGCATTATTGGGCGCATTTTTGGCAACGATATGAATTTATGCGCAGTATTTTTCGTCAATTTTTATTGCTCCATCCGTATTTTGATATCCGCCGCGTTCACATTACTTCGTTCATTAGGGTTTGCGCGTACCAAAAGGTGCAGTCCGCGCATCCTGAACGGCTGTCAAGGTGTACGACTACGACAAATTTTAGGCCGTCAACCGATCGATAGGAGAGGTGTTCCGTGGGCCGCCTGTGTGAGGTGAACATGACCGACGGATGTACGGGCTATGGAAGAGCCTGGCAGCCTATACAGAAGTCACGGGTGCCACACGGAAAAGTTGCCATTAGCCGCTTATCTACCATGAACGCCCATGAAATGTGTTTCGTGGATGTAATATATATAGTATATATATATATATATATATATAGTATAGTATATTATATTATGGATTTTACTAACTAGAGCTTTTCATTAGGCTTATAAGCTGAGTACCCCGTTCGGGTGTTTTTGGATTAGAAGCAAATCATAGCACGGGTCGTATGATCTTTATACTATATATTAGTATCATTATATATCGTCATGGTGATTCACTACTTCGCATGGTTGATATTACTGTTTGTGTCCGTTTCTGCTATCTATTTCTGGCGTGTATTTCTGCGTTCGTTATCGTTCTATCGTTTCTCTACGTGTACATGAAGCATTCGAACAATATAATTCGCGCGATATTTGGCATCATTAGTAGCAATATATAAGTTTGACGACATGCTTGAGCAGCGCTGTTCGACAGGGCACCTGTGCACGTGCAAGAGTCGTGTTGAAGACGATTTTAACTATGAATTGTCATCGTTTTATATTGTTGCTCTGTTTTTGCGATTTCGAAGGACGAAGACAGGAGACGTTATTATGTCTTTGGCTACGCCTACGGGGTCTTAGGGCCAACTGGTCGTTACTGTTTTAAAGGGAATAGAATGGCTCAAAGGCATTAAGACTTCTTTTAAGCTTCTGCAGGGACCAACACTTCATGCAGGTTTATGCTAAAACTATGGTGTGGATATCTAACTGCGTGACGGCTTTATATTAGTGCTTATTGTTATGCATTTACGTCAGCAAACGCGTGCGGCGCTTCAATATTACCATTATGGGCTCGGGGTTATTATGGGTCGCCCGGTTGTGTTACGTTTTGATGTGGCGAAATCTCATTTGGAATCAGCAAAAGGTAGGGTCGAGGCAGCTGTTCGGCAAACAGTGAGGGCGGGTCAAACGGTGCAACACGTTGTGCCAGCTGTGTGATTCACAGGTTTTCTTTGCATCGAGTTCGTGTAAGCGGTGTTCGAGAGCTTGTTATAAATGCTGTGGATACCTCAGCGTCAGGTATAGAGAGAAACGCAACCGTGCAGCTTTCGGCAAAATTTGGTAGGCTGCATATTTTGTGGCACATGAGCATACAACAGCGGCTTTCTAAGCAACAACCAAAGCAAGGCACCTGTAAGCCTCCAGCGTCCAGGTATAGAGAGAAACGGCAAGCGTGCAGTTTCTCCACGGCACATCTGGCTACTGCATATCCTGTCGCGCCACCGTTGCATACAACAGCTTGCAACAACAACAGAGCAACAACCACAACAAACCACAACAACGACGACGGAGACGGGAAACGTCAACGTAGGATGTACATGACTACGGCGTAATTGAGGCATCTCTTGCCTACGAGACTAACAATGAATCGCTTTAGAACGGCTGTGATGGTCCAAAATAAATGGGTTAGCTTAAGCACTCCTTGCTGGTAGTTACTTTCAGTCAGTGGTAAATGTATTTCATTGCGCTTTGTTCGACGCGGGCGGACGTTCATGCATCGTGTTTTAACGAGATGCTTCTATGGGACCTCTGCGACCAATAGGCCTACATGCGTCGCGAAGTATATGGCGTACCCGGCATCAAGTTTATTAAATTCCTCAAGGGTGCGCGTTACGCCTTTTCGGGTCAGATTCCGGTACGTGAAGATATGGCTGGTGGTGGGGGCAGACCGGGCAAGAAGTTGGAGACAAGAAAAGACGCTGGTGAGCGCGTGACGCTGCAGACTGGCGCCCGGTGTTGCACGAGTCGTTCTTTGTTCCTGCGTGTCCGGGCGATTAGATAAGAGACACGGCAGCTTCTGCGTGAGCGGCCATGGACCGAGGGGGGGGGGCGCGATAGAGTCGGCAGGAATGAGTCTAGGTAGGGCCATTAGCCGCGTGCGGGCCGGCTACGGGACGCCGATAGTTTACACACACACACACACACCCACACAACCAGCAGCACAATCATCACACAGCACACACACACACACACACCACACACACAACAGCACGCCACACAGCATATATCTATACACAGCACACACACACACCAGGCGGGGACGCAACATGCACACACACGGAGCACCAGACACACACACACACACACAACACACACGCCACACCACATATATATATATAATATACATATGGTTATATATAGTTATATATAGTTAT